GGGGGGGGGGGGGGGGGGGGGGGGGGCAGAAAGAAGACAGAAAAAGGTGGTGGAGGACAGGGACATACACATGGATAGCTATTTTGAAGCAGCTAACCTGTCTTTTTCTTATCAACATCAAAGGACAAGAAGAGAATTTGGATCCACAAGTTTTGTGGGTCTTTTGATATATGTTTTTAATAGAAACTGAATTTAATTTATCTAACACTCCTAACAGCATAATAGTTTTTGAAAATGTTTTTCTACTTTTAAACCTTATTAAATGCCAAAAACAATATTTATTATCACCTGGTATTTCAAATATTATAAAAAAAAAAAAATGGAACGATCATTTTTTTATGTAAAACATTAAACTAAAGATTAAAAGATTTTGATTAGGATACTATTTTTAGACTATAATTAAGGACTTATGTTAGTTTATGTAATGTTTATTATTAACTTTCTAAAAAACATCTATAGAAAAATGCTCCTTTTTTTTTTCTTCAATAAAAATAAACTTTAAAATGACTTTTTTTATTAATTGTGAACATTTAAAACCATATAATTGAAATAGAAAGAATCTAAAGAACCAACCACATATTTTTTTCAACACAAAAATATAATAAAATCATTATTTTAGTCAATATTAACAAGAAAATCAATGAATGGAGGACCTATAGGACATTTGAAGAAGTGACTTCCCTTACGGACAAGAACAGTTGTGTGCTACGTGTACATCCGAACAGAAGAATTTTCAAATACTTAATTAATGCTTGCATAAAAATCACTTTTTTTTATTTATTTTTATTTATAAATAATATATATATATATATATATTTGGGTTTTAATTCTTTGAAATAGAAATTTGAACGAAAAATACTTGCCAGATTATGTTTTCAATCACAGAGACCTGGCATATTTTGGTGGGGCATGAAATTATTGGTTTCTTAAAAAAAAAAAAAAAAAGTAATCCAACTCTTCAATCAACCTATACCCTAAAAAGGAAAGAAAAAAGAGTTGCCGAAAACTCATGATTTTATACAACAATTTTAATGACCCGTTACATCTAAAGGTAAATTAACTGTTTGATTGAGAATCAGAGAGAAACCCATGAGATTAATTGTAAATTATTTAAGATATTGTTTCATAACAATTTTGTAAATAATTATACCAAATTTTAATGAGAGATATTATAAATATTTATTTTTAAGTCATTTAAAATAAGATTATTATAATAAATTTTTTTAAAGGTATTTTGTTTTATTAAAATTATATGTTTTTAAAAATAATTTTTTATGTTAAAAATGATTATTAAATAATTATTTCACAGATTGAGAATGTATTTTAATCCATTAATACTAATAAAAATAAAGTGAGAGAGAAAAAAATGGATATTAATTCGTAAATAAAATATAATTTTAATTCTAGAGAGAGAAAGAAGATTTAAGTTTTAGAGAGAGAAACCTGGCACCAGGCATAGCGACGTTCTTGAACACTCTCTGAGCGCAGCGTCCGGCCTCCGATTCACTGGTAATCTCGGATTCGGCGTTTGCAAAATCATCCACCGTCCTCGATATCGTCGACAGTCCTGATGATCTCACATAGCT